CCTCCCAGAGATGTAGTACATTTTATAACTGATGTTAAAATGTTAATTTGCACAAGGTAAGTGGCCCGGAGGATTGAGGGCAGAGGCCTTTTCTTTATTAGGATTTCAATTAGTCACGGGCCAAGTTGGGAACGCCCAAGTTCTGGGTTTGAGCGCAGCCCCTGCCAAAGCTGAGAGGCAAAAGCTCCTGAACTCACAGACCCAACCGTGGGTTCACTTTCCTGTTTTTCCTGGCGGGATTTCCAGTCCTCATCCCGCCCGGCACTGGAACAACTTGCATCCACAGTAGAAACAAGACAGCCTGAGAGTCAGGAGCCAGGCTCGGATAAGTCAGACATTTCTCTATAGAAATTTGGAAACCTCTTTGGTTTTTTGAAAGGCAAAAGTCGGGCTAGGAAGAACACAAATCAGCAGGATTCAATAATGGCAATGTCCTAGTCAGTGTCAAATGAGTGGAGGTGATGCAGGAATGTAACTGGCACCTTTCTGGTATTCTGTGGGATTGGAAAAAGGATGTAGCTTTAATTCATTTAGAAGTCCCTTGAGATTGAATTGAGTCCTAATGAAAGTTCCCATTGAAGTTAATGGACCCGATTCTCTCCTCATTGCAGGGAGTACTTCTAATTAAGTCAATAGAATTACACTAGCATAAAACTGGTATATGTGAGAGGACTAGCAGGTCTTGGGAGAGTTGAACCTCCTAATGACAGGACTAAAATTGGACCCTGAAAATTCCAATCACTTTTGCACTGCAATAAATTCAGTGTAATTGCATCAAAACACATCCAGCAGGCAGTGGCCTAAATTCTGCAGGATTGGTTGTAACTGAGTAATCCCACCCTCTTCCTTCTGGAAGTGAGATCAGGATTTTGCTTTCTGTGGTTGGAGTATAAAAGTAAATACAAGTCCAGAAAAGTAGATGCATTTACTCTGATTATTACTTACTAATACTCTGGAGAAGACACATCTCAAATGATAAGTAAATACAAATCAAAAGGAAGTCGTGGTCACTACTTCCAAATCTTCCTATCTACAGAAAGGCATTAGAAGATATGGGACAGGTAAGGAATTTACTCTGCATCTAGACTGTGTGACAGCCTGGGGCAGCTCTGCCTGCCAACACCAGACCACCCTGCCTTAAGGCCAAAGGCACTTTTCATACAATGAGAGAAAGGGAAAAAAATCATCTCACTCATTGGCCCACTTCTCCTTATTCAGCCTGAGAGCAGATGAGCCTTACCTACCAGTGTATAAGGTGGAGATAGTCCGTGCATCAAATCCCAAGATAGCTATTTCAAGCCACACTCTTTTTTTCCTGCCATACTTCTGTTCTCTGAAAGTGTTTAAGCTTGGTAATGCATAAAATATATATTTTTGCAAGAAAAAATTTTCCCTCCATTTAAGAATTTATTAACAATTTACATAATTGCTTAAGTAATCTGCATAATTGACAGAAAGTTTAATTTGACCCTAGTTCAAATGCAACACTTATGGTTTTAAATTGAAATGGGTATAATTCATTTATGAGAGTAATTAAGCCATAGTGTCTAACAAATACAATGTATGCTGCCTGAGGCCTTCAAGGCCAGAACATGCTATTAGGATGTTTTATTTAAATATGTCAAATCTGTTCATCTCCAAAGCTGCCTGTGTTAAAATATATCAAATGTCTTACTTGACCTTTAAGTTGCCCTACTGAAAGCAGGGCATTAAAATAAAATAAAATAAAATAAAAAATCAGAGGCTTTCCTGCGCGCCTATGAAAAGGCAGGAGTGGTGGAAAGGAGACCAAGGGAGAAGTGCTCTGAATGAGATTATCATCCCTTCCAGCAGCGATGCAGCTTTAAGTGACTGGTTTTGCCTTCATTAAGTGAAATCCACTGCTGTGTGCAGTGCCAGCATACAGCTATTTACAACCACGTAAGCCATCCAAATAGAGCTTAAGCGGTGCAGAAGTCTTTAAGTTGGCCTTCTGCAAAGGACAGCCCAGCAATCCCTGGAAATCCCTTGCTTCCTCTGAGACCATTCCGGTTGTGACAGCTTGTGCTATCCCGAAAAATCCCAACAGCCAGAGCTGACCATCACTCTCCTCCCACATTTCCCTCCTAGAGGATGGCTATTAAGGTTACAGCTGTCCTTTAAGAAGAGATTCAGCAACCGCTGCTCACTCTGAGCAATGCTTTCCTTCAGTTCTACCCTTGTCAAAGTTCTGGCTGCCACTCAAGGTCCCAGACTGACTCAGACTTTGTGTTTCCCTATCTTTGGGTGTTTGTAAATGTCTGGAGCCTCATCAGCTATACTCATTTTGCCCTGAGGGTTGAAAAATGAAAAGCTAAAGATCCTTCTGAAAATCAGGTCCTAAGTTCTATCAAAGTGTAGTACATTTTTAATGTAAGCCACCCTGTTTCTGTCTGTAGGGCTGCAATCAGCACAGTTCAGATGTCCCTTGGGAAGGAAAAATGCTCAAGATTTATTCATCAGGAGGCAGAGTTTTTATATTTGCTTCGGAATTTTTTTATTTTTTATTTTTTTGCCATGTTGATATGCTGAGATCCCTTCATGAGCCTGTAATTTCTCAAGGTTTAGGTCTGGGGCAGTTGATTTCATCTTATTCTCCATGCTGGACAGTTAGGCTGACTCATCCTCTGAGTACTGGTCTAGGCTTGTTAGTGTATGACAAAACCTCAGCTCCTCATTAATTTCAACAAGTTGACAGTCAAGTATTAAATAGCTGATAATCCTTTCTCTAATGAACACTGTCATATACCAGAAATATTAAAGTCTACATGGCACATGCTATCACTGCTCATCTTTGAGGTCAAGAGAAAGGGAACATAAAGCAGGACTTAGGGCTGTGCTTTTTTTCCCCACCGGAGATACGTTCCTAGTGTACTCCAAGTTAGACCCACTCACTTTTCTAATTAGGTTGTTATGTGACAGATACAGGAGAGATGAGATGCAGGATGAATGTATGCCAAGTAGTGATCTCAATTACCAGTTGTGTTGTCTAAAGCTGTGTGATATTAGGGAATTTACTAAAAGCCTTCCATAAGCAAAGAGAATATACAGAACAGCAGTTTTGTCCACTCTTGTGGCTATGTCACTAGTTTCATGATGGATGATGTTTCTACACCAGCTTCTGAGAGTGAGAAGCACAGAAAAAAAAACAGCTTTCACTGAAAAAAGTAGAGATGGTCAAATGAGAACAGTTCAGCAAGTCAAAATGAGTCAGCTGGGCTGCAGTAACCATCTCTGGGTATGCTTTTATCTGAAGGAAAATGCTAGCTTATATTGCATGCCTCAGACTGTCTTGAAAGAGGGCAGGTGAAGTGAATTATTTTACATAAGCCCTAGGCAGAAGAATGCACTTGCAGGAAATCTGCAGCACAGCCGACTCATGGTAACTTGCTACAGTTCCCTGATGGCAATTACAAAGCATAAATGTCTAGTCTGTTTGCATACAGGATGTACAATTAAGAAACACCATCCTAATTAATCCTAAATAAGTACGGTCCATTAATAGATACATGCTTATTGATTAATTGATTTGTTTTTTGAATGTAGACTGAGAAGTCACCAGACACCAGTTATCTTCTTTCCCTGCCCCTAAAATCCAGCTTATAGTTTCACAGTGATCTTCTGGAAAATCAATGTTAGGACAAGAAAGAAGAAATGCTCCATTAGCTGACAAGTCTGAATGACCACGTTCTGCTCCAAAATGGTGGAAATTTGGCAGATTGAAAAATTGCTTATGAGGACTTCAGAGAACAGATGTGAGATGCAGGTTTTGGATAGAAAAAAAAAACACTTCTTAAAATGCTGTTTGTTACATCACCAGATTCTCTTAAACTGATATAAGTGGGTTAGGAATGTCAAAGGCAGTAACATGTAAGAAAAGAGTATAGTATATTGTGGTTTTAAGAAAAGGTCACATTTAAATGTCAAAACGAGGCCTGTTTCTGCTACCACGCTCTTAACAAATGAATGGGATGTTCAAATCTGTTTAAAAAAAGAATTGCAGGCTTTTGCTAGAGTTCAGCCCCAGCTGTGAGGGAATGCTGCAGGTGAGACTTGGCTGGAGCACCTGGCAGTGGGGACAGGAGCAGTGTGGCAGGAGGCTGAAGGTCCTGGGATGCTTCCTAGTGGATTCCCATCACAATCACCAGGTTGGCCAGGTAAGGCTGCCTGAAAAGCCTGCAAGGCAAACTGACCTCGGTGTAAGAATCAGGCCATTGCATTTCTCTCTCCAAACATCTTTGATTCCAGAACATCTACCCAGAATCAAGCACCATGAGTGAATTACTGATCATCATTGCTGATCTAATAATAATCTCATAAATAATACATCACGTTCAGCTTCAAGCAGCCATGCTGGCAGCATGAAGTACTACTAACCCCGAAGGCACAGATCTCTTTTGAAGGGCCTCAGTTGAGCTTGTACAGTTAAAAGTGCATGGGTTTCCCAGCATTTAATTTGCAGTTTCCAGGTAGCCACCTAGATAGCAGTTAGACTATTAGATAGCACAGAATACTTTTACATCTGTTGTAATTCTATACCTAATAATATATTACACAGAAAATATTTTACCATATATTTTGCTATGTAGGACAAAATCTAATATTGTACGTTCTAGAAGAACAAAATCAGAAGTTATTTCCTGTTATATGAAGGTTTAATGAAGTCTTCATTTATAAGCCTATAGTTCCAGTCTGATTAAAAGGGAAGGTTTGTGATTAAAGCAGTCAATCAATTGATCGATTCTTGTTCAGCTCATTCCTCTCTCAACGTTGCTGGCTGGATTCAGCACTGCATGTTTACCTTTTTAGTCTATGTGGAAAGCATATCTGTGTGTGAACCTACAGCCTGTTGCCATACATTACTACCCTGCCACCCCCTATTCCCTGCTGTTACTTTCGGTATAAAGTAAGATTGGCTACACAGGCATCAGCAAGATAGACCTAGCTAATTAAAGTCTTGCTCCTTGTGGTGCTTTGCTTACCCCCTGGGCAAGGCTGCCACATGAATGTCCATGAGATGCTCACCAGCAGCAATGGAGGAGTGTCTTGGTAGAGTCTGAGCTTCTTTCCACATCCTTTCACTTCAAACAGTGTGGAGACTAACCTGAGATACTTCTCCAGACCAGGCTGCCATGTTCCTAAAATACCTTTACTGTGTAACTCCACCTTGTTTAAAACTGAATTAAGCGATTCACACCACTTTGTTTGGCACCAGTGTGAAGGAAGTCATCATTAACCAAAAGCCAAGCGTGTTTAACATCTGAGAGATAGACTGTTTTACCTCCCTTTTCACAGCCCATTGCCCCAGAAGAAATTGTACTGAAGTCTTTAAAGCTTCAAGAAGCAGATGCCACATAATGAGAAAGGCAGTGAAAAAACTGAGCAGGAAGAGGGTTGCCCTAGGAAAACTGAACTATTTGACAAAACAAAACATTAGGACCAAATCCCACAGTCTGAAGTTTTGCCTACTTGCTTAATTTTTTGTCCTTTATAGCATTGCTCTTTTTTCTCCATCATACACTGGATTCTTTCCTCGTGCTGTGACAAATTATTGTGTATGCAATAATTACAAATGTAAGGGCAGCTGACATCATCTTGACTTCCAAATACCTGATGGAGCACTTGGACACACTAGTGACCTTAAATACACTCCCTGAGAGTACAGTCTGGCCTCTAGCTTTTAAGTGCAGGTGATTCTATATCATTTCATTTTGGTTCTAGCTGGGCTTGGAATTTGCATCCCTGTGCCATCAGAATGGCCTGGAGTTTCTTAATTACCAAACAAATGGAGAGTAGCTGCTTGATTTTGACAGCTCCTTTGTGTATCATTCTTCACAGAACATGAATGATTAATGGAATTTTCCCAACACAGTCAAAGTTGTTTACTGATGGAATTAAAGCTGAAATTGGCAGTGCTCTTTAGGGAGGACTTTTTCTATAATGTCACCAGACCTGCCAAGAGCCCCTAAAAAATAGGGACAATTAGTGATGGGTCAGAAGGATTCTGGGTATTAAAAGGTTTGGTTTTCTCTAAGGAAAGTGAAAAGGAGGGGTGGGCAGTGAGGTGAAAAAAAAAAAAAGAATAAAATCCTTAAAGCCTTTCTTTGATTTTCTTCATAGCATAGTATTCTTGGACCCATGATCTTCTATTAAAAGGAAAAATAGTTAAAGTACAGTCTCTGAAGATAAGAAGTACACAGAAGAAGCCAGATAAAGGACACCAATTGTTCTGTTGCCATTTTGAGCATTAGAAATGGCTGGAGAAGCAACTATCTGGTGAAGAAGGCAATTGGTACTGGTAGACAGAATGGAAGATGGTTGGTACTTCTGCCACCCTGCCATCTGCATGGCCTGAGGAGATGATGTCACTGTAACTGTACCAGTCTGGGGACGCTGGGGATGTGCAGAGGAAGCAGATGGAGAAGAAACTTGTGGTCACAGCATCTAATGACAGCATGAGAGGAAACCAATTCCAATGAGTAAGGCAAGGCTGTGAAGAAAATCATCTAGAATTATTCTGAACACATTCATATGTATTCCTTTTTTTTTTCCGTATTTTCATCGTTTGCCCTTACATTGCCAGATTCCACAGGCAGAAAAATTTGTGGGAGTAATATCCTCCCATCAGCAGTGGTTCATCTGGGACACACTTACGAAGTTCATAAGAAAGGCAAGCCCTACGCAGCATGCTCAATGTTTAAAGTGTTTTATGAATAACTTCACACCAACCCCTGGAGATAGTTAGATAAGCACGTGATTTATTTTTATTTCCATTTTCCAGATGGAGAAAAAATGGTGGAATGACCTTCTAAAGGCCGCAGAAGGAGTTGAAACTGAGATGAGATCAAGGAGCTCCTGACTACCCTGCCCCCAGGGAAAACATCAGATTGTTCTGCATCTCTCTTCTGCAACTATTGTACTGACAAAGCCCTTTTGCCACACTCATGTAAGTGTGTCTACAAGATGGATTTTTATGACTGCAGTGAAATTTGGGAGATGGCCGGGACACTCTGGTTTCCAGCAATCCCATATCATACTTCCCTCATGTGCTTCTCTCTCTCCTGCCTCTAAGTCTTTTTCAATAAACAGGCAAAATTACCCATGAGCAAGGCTGTAAGGGACAGTACAGAGCCAGTGAAATCATATGCCTCCTGTGCTTGTATAGTTAGCAGCAAGTGTATATAACACGGCCCTGCCCTTCCTCTTCTAATGAAAGTGGCTTGCCACCAGGTAGGTGATCCGCTGCCAAAGGAGATTAATCTCCGCTTTTAGAACATGTTTTGGGGTTGGAAGGGATATCAGCAGCTTTGATATGTTTTTAACATCATCTAAAGCGTAGCCAAGGGATATAATCGTACCCTTGAGAGAGCCAAGGTACAATACGTAGCTAAGTGCCTCTAATCCACAGTAGCATGATTATCTATTGATAACTGCCTCCTCCCCTTCAGCTGTCCTACTGATCTTGAGTTTGGTTAATAAAAACAAATGAATTCAGCATACCACAGCAGAGAGTAACGAACATGTTATTGGGGTACTGGGGCAGGGAAAGGTTAACTGTTCTGTTTTGTTTAGTTTACTTTTAATGCAAAACCCAACTGGCGCGGTGATCTCCAGATATGCACAAATACCAATGCCAGATATTCACTCACACAGACAAAAGTAATACAAGTACAAAAAGGAAGGCTGGGGTGGAGGAAGGGGAAATGGCTGGGGCCAAGAACTGGAAGCCAATTCTTGCCGTGATGTTCTCTTACTGCCTTTGTGATCCTGAGCAAGCCTTAGATTAAATTTAATAGTGAGGACTGGATCCAATGTCTGATACTAATTAGAAAGCAAAAGGCCCTTTCACCTTCCGCTACTAAATTTGCCTGAAGTTATTTATCTGTAGTTAATTCTGTACTATTGTATCCTAAAGTCAGACTTCAGGACCGATGAAGCCCTGTAGTTGCAACTGACATCTGCAGGATATTTAGTTTGATAATATTGCTCATGATAACTTCACGGATCAATTTTCATTTTTTTGTGATTAAGGAAAAGCTTGTTCTACACCACCAAAACAAAGTTACGAGAAGATGTACAATTTTGTATGCTTTTTTAAGAAATGGAAAATCTTCCAAGCAAGGCTCAAGAAAGAGAATCACACCATGAGTCAGTGTTGGAAATACAGACTGAAAAATCAAGTGCAGACTTTGCATTATCACAGATAATAGATGGTGAATAGTGCACTCAAGTTTAGTGACATGCACTTCAGCTGTGCAGAGTTACTCTTGTTAGACTATTGTAACATGAAAAGGAAGGTTCACATGGTACAGCAAGATGGTAGAAACAGATGTATGCACCACCCGGCCATTCATTTGGCTTTTGTTCTTTCCTCACTGGGAATTAAGCTGAGGAGTACAAATGCTCTTCCAAGATTTGAAAAGCATCTGCAAAAGTTAGAAAGACGTAGGGAAAAAAAAAAAAAAAAAAAAAAAAGACAAACAAAAACACAAAGCAGCTTATTTGTTCATCCATCATATTTTCCAGGCAACTGCTCTCTTGAGGAACATGCAAACGAATAGCCAAGAGTGAGTGGCAGAAAAGATACACGTATATGAAGCAAGGCATGTCTTGGAGCTGCTTTCATGTTCTTTCCTGATGCTGGCAAGGGTGGGGCAGAAGTCTGGGAAGAGATCAGTTGGCCTGGGAAGGCACGGACCCTACCTAAGGAAACAAAAATTCCCGGAGGTATGCCTTGTTCAGCCATTGCAAGTGTCCTCAGAGGTCAAGAACCACTACCATGTTCATTTGATGGCTCTTAAACTACATTAAACTGTCCAAAGGCACCCAACCAAATGTCACAGTAAAACAAAAATCAATTGATTTCATGCCCAGGCGATACTCATCACGGGCTGTACTTATTTTGGATAAAGACATACAAGGAAGTTTTTTTAAAAGAATGCCCTGAAGGTAACAAGCAATTAGGGAGATATTTTAAAAAAGCAACCACAACACTCTGGCATAAGGCAGCCATTGCAAAAAAATCCCAATAATCTGATCTCTAACAAAGGAGGGCCTGTCAGGTCAGCAACCCAGAACTGAGGTAAGGGTTTCATATAACAATACTGCTTGACGTGGTATTCATTTTCAACCCACAGTGGTAAAAGTTCAACCTAACAGCAGCTGTCAAATACCTTTGGCTAATCCCCTGTAGCTGCTGTGATACAATTTTGGTGGTGTAAGACAAGGCATCACCTGACCCCAACAAGGCCACAGCACTGTTAACACTTTGCCTTTGGGAGGCACAGGAGTGGGTCAGAGTGGCTACAAATTTCCCTTTAGATATTTAGGAGAAAGACCTCCTCACGCTGCAGACCACAGCTCTGCTGAGCTCCGTGCCACAGTAGTGCAGAAATGTGTTTCTTTCCAAATCATTAAAGCTTGGCACTTCAGAGCCGGGCTCGAGGGAAAATGTCCCTGGCTCTCTGTGCTTTCCCTCCTGTATTTCGAAATATAGATGCTAAGCTTCAGTGCACCTTCCTGCTGGATTTTCAAACAACTTGGTGTTTTACAGGCTTCAGGATATTATAAATATTGGCGCTTTTTTTTTTTCTTTTTTTCTTTTTTTCTTTTTTTTCCTCTGAGCTGTTCAGGGCTGTGCAATGTACTGTGAGTACCAGGATGGAAAGAGCCAGGTTAATCAATCTCACATCCCAGCAAACCCCAAACACAGACCTCTCCACAGGAATAGAACATTGCCTAAGGGTTAGAGAAGGCTACTGGGACATCTCTCCCCATCAGCCTCAGACCTCTACTTTGTTCTTACCTAAATACTACATGTGCTAATGCTTTCTCTGTGAAGCAGGCTACATGGTGCTCAATAAAAGTTAATCTTTTGAAGGCCATTTGCATGCAGACAGAGGGTGGCCCGACATATTGTCCAAGCAGACTTGAAGCCAACAGTCAACATCATCCTGATACGAAGCAACTTGCAAGAAAAAGAAAGTAAAAAGCCTGAGACCAGTGCTGAAGATGGCCAGCATAAGGTGTCTTGTCATCTTGCATGTAGGCAGGTAAACCTCATAAAGAACCAGTACATGAGCAGACACCGTGATTCCA